TAATAGAAAATTTAACCTGTTGTATACTTAACGTATTCACTTTCAGTAAACTAATTATTTTACTTGAAAAGTACACCAGTGTATTTTTGTTGTACACATGTGAATTAACTCGTAGTTCACTAATGAGTACTTTTAGTACTCCAGTGTATTTTTGTCATACACTAGTGTATTTACTAGTAGTACACTAACATATCCAATAGTTGCATACTTTTTATTTACTCAATAGGCTATTTTGTATGTATACAATTATCATCATCATATAAAAGTCATCTATTACTTTTCCCCATTGTATTGCATGCACACGGCCCCACCAGCGTGTGTGACAACAGCTGTTGAGATACCTGATAAAGGAGGCATAATCACACGTTACGCACTGGCTTGATTGCACGAAACGAAACGCTATATTCTACCACAGTGGTTTTATTTCCGAATGGATAACTGCATACTTCAAGTCTCTAACATGAAACGGGATATTAAACACGTGCATTATTACATTTTGAACTTTGGATTCATATTAATTTATCCATTTGGTCCCGCAACTCCTTATTCCGGTAAATTGTCTATGAAAGGGTATAAACTTTCTCAAGGAAATCCCGTTCACATATGACATTATATAAAGTACTGATCCAATATGCAGATAATGATGTTGTGCTTACATTTTGCTGTATGATGGGAGATAACTCGTCTTTTCATAGGATGCAATTTTGTAGAAGGGGAGAAAACTCTACCGAAGATACCATATATATCTTATATTATATGGTGAAGGATAGGAGTACATGATAAAGGATATTGGTATATGGTAAAGGATATTAGAATATGGTAAAGGATAGGAGTATATGGTAAAGGATAGGAGTATATGGTAAAGGATAGGAGTATATGGTAAAGGATAGGAGTATATGTTAAAGGATATTGGTATATGGTAAAGGATAGGAGTATATGGTAAAGGATAGGATTATATGGTAAAGGATAGGAGTATATGGTAAAGGATATTAGTACATGATAAAGGATATTAGTATATGGTAAAGGATAGAAGTATAAGGTAAAAAGGATAGGAGTTTATGGTAAAGGATAGGAGTATATGGTAAAGGATAGGAGTATAAGGAAAGATATAAGGAAAGATATAACGAAAGTAGTTGTCGAAATATCAATGACTCAAAAATATCAGAGTTCATGACGTTTCAGCGTCTCCTCAGTTTTTGCTTGTGTCTTTTGCGGTCTCTTCGGTTTGTGGTGTTTGCTCAGCTTAGGATGTCTCCTCGGTTTGTGGTGTTTGCTCAGCTTAGGATGTCTCCTCAGAGACTGGTGTTTGCTCAGCTTAGGACGCCTCCTCATTTTCTGGTGTTTGCTCAGCTTAGGAAGTCTCCTCGGTTTCTGGTGTTTGCTCAGCTTAGGACGTCTCCTCAGTTTCTGGTGTTTGCTCAGCTTAGGGTGTCTCCTCGGTTTTTGGTGTTTGCTCAGCTTAGGATGTCTCCTCGGTTTCTTGTGTTTGCTCAGCTTATGATGTCTCCTCGGTTTCTGGTGTTTGCTCAGCTTAGGATGTCTCCTCAATTTCTGGTGTTTGCTCAGCTTAGGATGTCTCCTCGGTTTCTGGCGTATGCTCAGCTTAGGATGTCTCCTCGGTTTCTGGTGTTTGCTCAGCATAGGATGTTTCCTCAATTTCTGGTGTTTGCTCAGCTTAGGATGTCTCCTCAGTTTCTACCGTTGTCTTAAGGCATCTCTTCAGGTAATGGTATCGTCTTTTGGTTCTTATTTTGTACTTGTGATTTGAAATTACGCGGAAAAAATGTGGCATCCTCACATAGTTGTTTTTATAACAAATGACAATGAGTTTGATATCTTTATGCACCAAACGCATGAATCAAAAATGCATCGTTCTTGTCTTTACATTCACCGACCAGTCCCCCTCGAACTAATGCGAAAATAAATCTTTCATGATAATAAAGAGATTTACAGTGATTTTAGTTTAAATTTTATTTTATCCATCCGTTCCTTTTTTTGATACTAACATATCATAACATGTTTATTGCATCGAGGCACGTCTTTTCGGCAAATCATTAACATGATCATCTTACGGAATTCCGTTCTGCTCACAGGTAAATGAACATGTTTCAGTACAATGCGTTTGGTAGAATCAGTTGGTCTTGCTCTTTGATAGAAATTCGATTATGAAACACGAGCGGTTTAATCAGATATAAAAAAAAATATATAAAGACTTTTTAAATAAAGAAATTTAAATAGTCAAATACAATCATGTATTTGTTGTTTATTTACTGAACCGATGAATAGTTCCCACCTTTAAGCTGATATTTGACAAGTATCCTGAAAAACAACCCATGAAAATTTGAAAAAGAAGTATAGAAAATACATATTCATATTTGGAATGTCCAGTTCTATTCCAAACATTATGTATATACAGAATATACACCCCCGTATGACCATTAAGAATGATTGACACAACGTGGACTTAATAACAAACAGGGGTTGTGGTTTGATATCATACAATAAGCAGTGTCTGTTACATACGTAAAGTAGACCGTCGTTAGATTACCACTAACCACGAGCCAGTCACACCAGCTATCATATATCAGTGTTTCTAACATACGTGTGGTAGGCAGTCGTTACCACTTACCACGAACTAGTCGCACCAGCTATGATATATCAGTGTATGTTGCATACGTGTGGTAGACAGTCGTTAAATTACCACTTACCACGAACTAGTCGCACCAGCTATGATATATCAATGTCTGTTACATACGTGTGGTAGACAGTCGTTAAATTACCACTTACCACGAACCAGTCACACAAGCTATGCTAAATCAGTGTCTGTTACAAACGTGTGGTGGACAGTCGTTATCACTTACCACGAACCAGTCACACAAGCTATGGTATATCAGTGTCTGTTACATACGTGTGGTGGACAGTCGTTATCACTTACCACAAACCAGTCACACCAACTATTATATATCAGTGTCTTTTATACACGTGTGGTAGACAGTCTTAAAATTACCTCGAACCAGTCACATCAGCTATGCTAGATCAGTACCTGTTACATACGTATAGTAGACAGTTGTAACCACGAACTAGTCACACCAGCTATGTTATATCAGTGTCTGTTGCATACGTGTGGTAGACAGTCGTTAAATTACCACTTACCACGAACCAGTCACACCAACTATTATATATCAGTGTCTTTTATACACGTGTGGTAGACAGTCTTAAAATTACCTCGAACCAGTTACAACAGCTATGATCTATCAGTGTCTGTTACATACGTGTGGTAGACAGTCGTTAAATTACCACTTACCTCGAACCAGTCACATCAGCTATGATCTATCAGTGTCTCTTACATACGTGTGGTAGACAGTCCTTAAATTACCACTTACCACGAACCTGTCACACCAGCTATGATCTATCAGTGTATGTTACATACGTGTATTAGACAGTTGTAACCACGAACCAGTCACACCAGCTATGCTAGATCAGTACCTGTTACATACGTGTAGTAGACAGTTGTATCCACGAACCAGTCACACCAGCTATGATCTATCAGTGTATGTTACATACGTGTATAGACAGTCGTTAAATTCCCACTTACCACGAACCTGTCACACCAGCTATGATCTATCAGTGTATGTTACATACTTGTATTAGACAGTTGTAACCACGAACCAGTCACACCAGCTATGAGCTATCAGTGTCTGTTGCATACGTGTGGTAGACAGTCCTTAAATTACCACTTACCACGACCCTGTCACACCAGCTATGATCTATCAGTGTCTGTTACATACGTGTATTAGACAGTTGTAACCACGAACCAGTCACATCAGCTATGCTAGATCAGTACCTGTTACATACGTGTAGTAGACAGTTGTAACCACGAACCAGTCACATCAGCTATGCTAGATCAGTACCTGTTACATACGTGTGGTAGACATTCGTTAAATTACCACTTACCACGAACCTGTCACACCAGCTATGATCTATCATTGTCTGTTACATGCGTGTGGTAGACAGTCGTTAAATTACCACGTACCACGAACTAATCACACCAACTATGATATATCAGTGTCTGTTACATACGTTTCGTAGACAGTTGTTAAATTACCACTTTCCACGAACCAGTCCCACCAGCTATGATATATCAGTGTATGTTACATACGTCTCGTAGACAATCGTTAAATTACCACTTACCACGAACCAGTCACAACAGCCATGATATATCAGTGTCTCTTACATACGTGTGGTAGACGGTCGTTACCACTTACCACGAATCAGTCACAACAGCCATGATATATCAGAGTCTCTTACATGCGTGTGGTAGACAGTCGCTACCACTTACATATGTACCACGAACCAGTCACAACAGCCATGATACATTGTATATCAGTGTCTGTCAGGACTTAAGGTTTTGTTCACTTAGTCTGAGATAACGTTTTTAACCTACATAAATTCCTGTATCATACGCCAGACAACATAGAGTGTACCACATGTGGCGCAGGAAATGTCTTACGGAGGACCCGGTTTCATGTGTTCATATTGTCTTTGTATATATCGAAGTATGCTCGCAGCTCCTGTTGTTTCATTTTCAATCGACTTTAATTTTGAATGTTGTCCTTGTGTGTCCTCGTATGTAGATAATGTGGTTTGTCTGTTTCCTTTTATCGTATATGTTTGACAAGATAGTTCAACTCACCAATAATTTTATCTTTGTCTTTATCAGGGTTTCAACATTTGGATTTGACTTTGAATTCGGCAAATAAAAATAAAAACAAATTACCAGTTTAAATTAAATACACCGAAAGGACTTTAGACATATCCAAATTGACTGTATTTAAAAGATTTGGAATAGTATCAAGTTAGCGTAAACGATCGATAAACAGTTGTAATGCCATTCATTATGGAGTAAAATGTCGGCGGTTCAATGTATACACGAATAGTTGGTACACACTTTCCATTAAGAGACCTGTAATTTTGTTCCGTGAGATCTGATTAAAAATAATCTTAATTCCTTGGCGAACGGGGCGGTAGGTTTTTATATCGAGAACGCATTGCATGCTGAAGTTTGGTAAGTTTTAATAAGTACTTGACTGTAATCCCTGTTTAAATCGGTACGAGAGGATACCATCGTGTGTATTGTGGCCATAAAAGTCTTTCACATTAGTAATCCATGTGTAAATATTTGTATGTGTTCTGATTCTGACTGTGGTAAAGTACCACACAATGTTTGATATAACGAACATGTACTGAGATAGTGCTTTGCATATTCTAGTGAAGACAACTCGGATAAGTATTTTTCCCATGGATTTCTAACTCGTCATCAACTGGAGCATCGCTGCCTGGGTACGAAGGGTTAGTATTACAGTATAAACTAGACATCGTTATGTTATATTATAACGTAAACATTAAAGCTTCAACATATTATACCAGAGTTTCAGTAAGCAACAACATATTCCTGATCTATCAGATTGTGTTACAGTAGCAACAGAACTAGTTATGGTACACATCTGTTTAGTCAGTGTCAGGAAAAACGGCAAATAATGGGCGAGGGTCAAACTGCGGAATTTTCATTAAAATGATAAGTAGTGGTCATTCATTTATCAAGAGCTGCATGATACAGAATCGAACATGGGAGTTCTTTTGAATATACACTTTAAGATCCATTATTTTGGAGTTCGTTGGAAGGAATATATTATACCGTAGTTAGATATAAACAATATTTCATTAAGTGTATCACATAAGGTCAATGTATCACATAAGGTCAATGTATCACATAAGGTCAATGAGATAATATAATCCACAGCTAACTCAATGATATAACAACATGCCTTTAAAAGTATAATATAGCCTAGCGGTACTCATATGATGTATTGTGGGCCTGATTTGTCTAATAAAGAGAGATAATATACCACAAGTATAGGTAAGTCCTGAGAGCAGGCAATGAAATGACGTAATTATATATTCTCTATAATGTATGTTTCTGTAGGAAACATTCTATACCACTCATATTGATATTAACGGTATGTGAAAAAGCATTGCTTTATGACTTAGGAATATAAGAAGCCCGGGGACCTTCATTAATAATCATCATTATATGCAAATGAATAGATTACCATTTAAAAGCAATTCAAACTAAAAACTTCAGCTATGAGTGTCTGTAGAATACACACACAAAATACAAAACAAGTTTACTCTTTATAGAGATGTCATAAGAAATTAATTCACCGTGATAACTTAACACACTGAATGGTCAATGGTATTAATGCAGTTATTTCAAAATATAGTCCTGCCAAACTATGCTGATCACAGGTCAAGATGAATATTGTCATTTAAGAGCCAGACACACTTGTGTTATTATCACTATGTCGCCAATGAGTTAAGCTAGAATACTGGTATAAAATATTTTTAAATCATTTAAGTGAGAGAGAAAAAATCACCGTTTATTCTTCTTTTAGAATCCCACACGAATTAGTATATTCGGTTTGAGCATGTGTAACTCATCTTAAAAAGTTTGATAGATTAGACATACTGACACAAAAAATGACCTTAACTAAAACATAACCTCATAGCTTCAGGTGTACCGAAATACTGGAAAGAAAATATCCTCAAGTTTTAAGTTAAATTTGTGGAAACAAAAATATAAAAAACAAAAGACAAGAGTTTCTCTTCGACTTCCCTGGCGCTTTCTCCTCTTTAGAGGTTCATCAGGGGAACTATTTATTCATGCTATTCTGATATCATTCTGTGATGTGTTGTTGTCCTGTCAACATGAATAAACAGTTCCCGTGATGAACATTTAAAGAGGAGAAAGCGATAGGGAAGTGGAAGAAACTCTTGCCTTTTGTTTTTTTATATTTAACCATCAGAAGGACTTTGAATGTTTTTTTCTAAATATAAATATATGTATATAAGTATTGAAAGTTGTTTAGAAATTAACTCGTATGTAAGAAATGTACATGTTGTTGTTAGATTGAGTCGCTTTTAATAGTGACCAACACATTAAAGATAAAGTCGGTTTATTATAGAAAATACGTGGTACCAGCCTCAGCTCAAGATTACAATATATTTATTCATAGCAACACCTAGATAGACAGTGGTCTACTGTACATTTATTGATTATCCGAACCGACGCAGGTGCTAGTGTTTGTTTGTGAATTATATAGTATCGATTTCTGTTCAGTGTAATCAGGGCCAGATAAAGGTATGTACTTATCAATCAGTGTCTGAATCACACGATGTGACCTGGTTTCCCCAAGTCTCGTTAACTATCTGAAGGATAATTTGTCACTGGGTAGTTGTTTTCACTCAAAACGAATAGAATTTTTAACTTTCATTGTTTCTGTTTTTAAATTTTAAGTTATCAGGCAACAGGAAACAAAACTAAAAGTAACCGAGTTAAAAAGGTCATTTTGAATTAATGTTCGTATGGCTGAGTTAACATCGATTTTACAACAAGGATGTAGACCACGTTTGTGATATGACGTCAATGCTAGAGTCCTGGGCCCAGTTTAAAGAGACGAGACTAAAGGTTAAAGGGAACGTCAAAAATAAAGAACTCAATATAGACATAGACCATGTACTGTATAAGGTATCAACAACAAGAGTCCCATGGGCTTTAACGGTCACCTGAGTTCTGATATATTTATACAGAGAGTTGATTTTTGTTTTTAAAACATGAACAGAAATATAATTCAAAGTGACAAATAACAATAAAACCACCTTATTCAATATCTATCATACAGATTTATGACTAAAAAGCATTTGAAACTAGCACCTCTGATCCTAAACAAGGATTTTATTTTTATCACACTGACTCCTTTGGGCGCCGCCCTACACCCCTTAGGGGTAGGGCTGGCTCAACATTTTCAAAGTATCAAACTGTCAACTCAGGGTTATAACTCCAATCAAGTTGTCAACATATTCAAAGTATCATTTGCCATTATAAACCATAATTTTGCCATCACCCCTCCCCCTTCCCCAGGGGTAAACGTGAAACCCTAAGGTCATAAAATTTACAATTTTGGAAAAGCACCTTAAAACCCTTCCATCTATGAAGAGTATTTGATTCTACCATATCTGGTCTTGAGAAGAAGATTTTGAAATGTCAGTCAATTCGACCCTTTTTGGCCCCACTCATCAGCATCGGGGGTCAGTCAGGGTTGATATGTGCATACCATCAAACTTCTATCCAATACTGATAATGCTTACCCAAATTGAATTACTTCCAATGGAAATAATGTTGGTCCAAAATGTGATTTCCCTGTATAAACTATAGTTAGGTTTCCCCCTCCCCATGGGTAAACGTGAAACCCTAAGGTCATAAAATTTACAATTTTGGAAAAGCACATTAAAACCCTTCCATCTATGAAGAGTATTTGATTCTACCATATCTGGTCTTGAGAAGAAGATTTTGAAATGTCAGTCAATTCGACCCTTTTTGGCCCCACCCATCAGCCCCGGGGGTCAGTCATGGCTGATTTGTGCATACCATCAAACTGCTATCCAATACTGATAATGCTAACCCAATGGAAATTAAACAAATGTTGGTCCAAAATGTGATTTCCCTGTATAAACTATAGTTAAGTTTCCCCCTCCTCAGGGGGAAACGTGAGACCCCAGGGTTATGAAATTCTTTTTGGCCCCGCCCCGCAGGCCCCTGGGGGCTGGGGATCATATAATTCACAATTTTGGTTGACCTTTTGCCATTGACGGTTTCTGCAAAATTTCAATGAAATTGGTTCTGGGGTTTTGGAGAAGAAGTCGAAAATGTAAATTGTTTACGGACGCATGACGGACGACGGACGATGGACGACGGACGACAAACGACGGACGACGACGGACAAAAGGCGATCGCAATAGGTCACTTGAGACTTTGTCTCAGGTGACCTAATAAAGACCAAGACCACGTGTTGTATAAAGTGTCAAGAATATATGCATAGACCCAGTGTTGTTTGGAACATCAACAATATAGACCTCAATCCAGTGTTGTATAAAGTGTCAGCAATATAGACCAAGACCACGTGTTGTATAAGGTGTCAACAATATAGACTGAGACCACGTGTTGTATAAGGTGTCAATAATATATACTTAGACCACGTGTTGTTTGGGAGGTCAACAATATATTACAAAACCCAGTGTTGTATGAAAACAATAACCACCTAGACCCAATGTTGTATGAGACGTCAACAATAACCACCTAGAACCAGTGTTGTATGGGACGTCAGCAATAACCACATAGACCCAGTGTTGTATGAACGTCAGCAATAATCACCTAGACCTAGTGTTGTATGAACGTCAACAATATTCACATAGACCCAGTGTTGTATGAACGTCAGCAATAACCACCTAAACCTAGTGTTGTATGAACGTCAACAATAACCACCTAGACCCAGTGTTGTATGAGACGTCAACAATAACCACCTAGACCCAGTGTTGTATGAGACGTCGACAATAACCACCTAGACCCAGTGTTGTATGAGACGTCAGCAATAACCACATAGACCCAGTGTGGTATGAACGTCAGCAATAATCACCTAGACCTAGTGTTGTATGAACGTCGACAATAACCACCTAGACCTAGTGTTGTATGAGACGTCAACAATAACCACCTAGAACCAGTGTTGTATGGGACGTCAGCAATAACCACATAGACCCAGTGTTGTATGAACGTCAGCAATAATCACCTATACCTAGTGTTGTATGAACGTCAACAATAACCACCTAGACCAGTGTTGTATGAGACGTCAACAATAACCACCTAGAACCAGTGTTGTATTAGACGCCAGCAATAACCACATAGACCCAGTGTTGTATGAACGTCAGCAATAATCGCCTAGACCTAGTGTTGTATGAACGTCAACAATATTCACATAGACCCAGTGTTGTATGAACGTCAGCAATAATCACCTAGACCTAGTGTTGTATGAACGTCAACAATAACCACCAATAACCACCTAGACCCAGTGTTGTATGAGACGTCGACAATAACAAACTAGACCCAGTGTTGTATGAGACGTCAAAAATAAAAACATAGACCCAGGGTTGTATGAGACGTCAACAATAAAGACCTAGACCCAGAGTTGTATTAGACGTCAACAATAAAAACCTAGACCCAGTGTTGTATGAGACGTAAGCAATAACCACCTAGACCCAGTGTTGTATGAGACATCGACAATAACCACCTAGAACCAGTGTTGTATGAGACGTCAACAATAACCACCTAGACCTTGTGTTGTATGAGACGTCAACAATAACCACCTAGACCCAGTGCTGTATGAGACGTCAACAATAAAAACCTAGACCCAGTGTTGTATGAGACATCGACGATAACCATCTAGAACCAGTGCTGTATGAGACGTCAACAATAACCACATAGACCCAGTGTTGTATGAGACGTCAACAATTAAAACCTAGACCCAGTGTTGTATGAACGTCAGCAATAACCACATAGACCCAGTGCTGTATGAGACGTCAACAATAACCACATAGACCCAGTGTTGTATGAGACGTCAAAAATTAAAACCTTGACCCAGTACTGTATGAGACGTCAACAATTAAAACCTAGACCCAGTGTTGTATGAGACGTCAGCAATAAGCACATAGACCCATTATTGTATGAACGTCTGCAATAATCACATAGACCCAGTGCTGTATGAACGTCAGCAATAATCACCTAGACCCAGTGTTGTATGAACGTCAGCAATAATCACATAGACCCAGTGTTGTATGACACAGACGTCGACAATAACCACCTAGACCCAGTGATGTATGAACGTCAGCAATAACCACATAGACCCAGTGTTGTATGAGACGTCAACAATAACCACCTGGACCCAGTGCTGTATGAGACGTCGACAATAACCACCTAGACCTAGTGTTGTATGAGACGTCGACAATAACCACCTAGACCCAGTGTTGTATGAGACGTCAGCAATAACCACCTAGACCCAGTGTTGTATGAACGTCAACAATAATCACCTAGACCCAGTGTTGTATGAACGTCAGCAATAATCACCTAGACCTAGTGTTGTATGAACGTCAGCAATAATCACATAGACCCAGTGTTGTATGAACGTCAGCAATAACCACCTAGACCCAGTGTTGTATGAACGTCAGCAATAATGTAACCCACAATCAATATTTCTTTTATAGTTAGTCTTTTTTTATTCCTGCTCAGAAAAACCACGTTATTTTGACATGAAGATGCTTGACAAATAAGGATTGAAGCTTGACCCAGTGTTATATGAGACGTTGTTTGAGACTTCAACAATAAAGACCCAGACCCAGTGTTTAGTTAAACGTCCACAATAGAGCCTTGTAACGTTTCCTTAATACCAAGGTGTTTTCAGGAGTATGCGCTGGTACATTGGTTCTGTCTACCGGGATTGTCTATGCGCGCTGATCAGAATTTTAGACTACGAATGTTGAAATATCCTACATATATTACTTCTGTTGTGCTAGGCAGTCTTTAAATAGCATGGCCGTTGATATCATAAAATCTGTAAACGTGATATAACGTAATAAGACCTTTTACATTTCCCTTGTATATATATATGGTTCATAAGGTTATCGGTCGACTTTAAACCTGCTCACAATTCAATGAATTATATATATTGTATAAAATCAAACTAGGCTACGTGAAAAAATCCCTAACATTTAAACAGGTTACATACCAGACTGGTTTACAATAATCTGTAAGACTACACTTTCTTTGATTTCGAAGCATATATGAATACAAAACTGAATTTCTTTCGGCTTGTTAGATCATATTACTATTGCATCAGGGGATAGAGAATGTACCAACGCTCTGATTTTACGAGAGTCTTACATGGCAGTGTTGTAGAAAGTTTATTTCTCTGCAGCATAGTATCTATCAGGCTGAGTATATTGTGTGATATTAACTTGTATATTCTATTGTTGTAGGGCTCTGTTTACCATTTCATCTATGTCCGACTAACTCCGCTATATATAAACGCTTGTCATTATGGAATGTGGATGTAGCTGTAGAGCTAATAAAGAGATGTTGGTGCCGCCACAAATGCATCGTCAGAAATCTGACATGCATGAAGAGCTACTGGTAAAACTCGGAGCTAAGGAAGAAAAGGTAAATATAGGATTTCATTTAATTTAAAAGCAAAAAAGAAATAAAATGATCTCAGTCTTAACACATAATTCAGGACAAAAGTTGACACTTGCAAGAATAGATTTACCATAATTCTCATTGTTTTTTCCTTTCTTTTATGAATTTTAACTTTCTTTTAGGATAACGATACCATGTTTATTATTGAGTTAAATTAAGCACAAAAACAAAAAAGACACAAATACCTTCCCTCCCTGTGAGTTCAAGATAGAATGTCCCGCATAACAAAGAAGTCACACGCCCGTATAAGAACAAAATAATCTAGCAAGTAATTTCACATTTCATAAGAGTGACGTCACAATGAAGACACTTAAATGAGGTCATGTCAAGCGCAGGAGATATAAAAGAAAATTGATTTTATCGGAATACATTCATGTTTTTATTTATAAATATCAGAGATGAAAGAAACACACCCTTTAAAACATGTTTGTGAAAGCTACCATACTTTCCCCCTGCAGGTCGGGGATCGAGAATAGAATACACCTGCTGTTACCCACTGCATGCATCGTAAAAGGCGACTAATGTGGTTACCCCTTTGTCGCAAAAACGACCAAAATAAATCTGCTGCACCCATTGCAATGTTTGGGATCTATGTATTTCTCTTTATCTCTAACTACCTTCTGTTTCCTAGCGCCTTTGCTTGGCAATATCTCACTTTTGGCTTTAATGTTGAATGTTCGCCTAGGTGAGGAAGGGATTCGTTTCTTTTCCCGGGCCGGGTCTTCAAGTCTTCAAAAAAGCTGTTATTCCCTCCTTAACGTTTCAGCATTTAGGGTTATGGCAACAACTGGTTCATCCGTTGTCAGTATAATATGACCGGGCGGAATAGAGTGCTGGGTGCTTTCGGCATGGTATTTCAGCGAGCTATCGCTATAATGTCGGCGTCAGATCCGCGCTATCACAAGGAGGCAAGTTCATCAACAAGGCCTGTCTCCAGCACACATACACACGTTCATATAGCGATGACGCCGATTGAAAGCTGTGAGCTTCTTGTGGCGCGTTTGAATATATGTTAAAATACTTGTTAAAAACACTTTTCACTTCCGGTGCGTATAGATAGACTTCTAATGTCAGGAATAACAACTTGCGCGGAATTTTGTTGGGTGATCCGACCAAAATTTATTCAGTCTGTTCTTGAATGTGTCCACAGTTGGAGAATTGACCACATTATCGGGTAGACTGTTCCACACCTCTACAACTCTATTGCTAAAGAAGTTACTATATATGGCCCTATTTGTTCTCTTGAACAGCTTTCTGCTATTTCCTCGTGTTCCAACGGGGTGCGCTCTTATAAACATTTTGTCCTGATCTACAATGTCAATTTCCTCCATAATTTTGAATAATTCGATAATTTCGTTGTTATCTGTTGTACTGTTGGGGCTACGATATTTACATCCAGTAATTAATTTGTCTCTGTTTGTCAGGTTTAGTTCACACCAGACTGAGTCTTGAAATTGTTGATGTATCACAGTGTCCAAGAAATCCATAGATTTAGTACACATCTTCTTCCCCAACCACTTATATGTAGATCATAACCTTCTATATTGTATTGTTCAAGAGTATTTTCGAATAGTGGGTTCTTGGGAAGGACTTCAGTTATACAAATTAAGTCAGGTGAGTCCCGTTGGATTAATGTTTCTAATTCGCATTTTTTGGTTTTGGAAAGAGTGTCCACATTAGCGTAGATAATCTTCAAGATCTTTGTACAATTGATAAAACCGTGTTCCTATTCTCTGTTCACTTCTGGTGACCCTGGGGCTAAAATAGAGTTCTGATGACCCATGTTGTCCAATAATGTTTCCTGGCTGTACATTTGAGTGATGTCCTCGTTTCCGAAGGAATTGAGATGACCGCCCATATTTAGGATAGTATTGTCCATATCCATCATAGCATCATCAGCCAATGTTTTTGGTTCTGTATGGTCCACTAGTGAACTAGGTCTGCCGATTGGGCTAATCACACCGTTGGCTGTAGCTTGGGGTGTAGGGTCCGAATCCATCTTTTGTGGTGGTTGTGTTCTCTTGTTTTTTCTATCGGCTTGTTATTGTTTTGTGAAGTCCTTGTTAATTTTAACCCTTTTAAGGTGTTGTGGGGCCAGGGTTTTGATGCTTTTTGCCACCTCTAACAGGATTTTTTTCTGCTTTTTGTTGTTCAGCACTACTTTAATGGGTCTGCACTTTTCCTTTGAAAACTTTCCCAGGCGGAAGTGGACTGTGATATCGACGTCGAGTAATCCGATGCTGATACAAAGGCTTTGAATTTCTGTTTTATCTTTAACATTGTTTGACTTTCTATCGCTATCAGTTCCCTCTGGTACATTGAAAATCACAATATTAGTGTCTCTTCTCCGTCTGTCCTCTTATTCGCCACATCTTTCATCCACCATTTTGTTGACCTCTTTTTTGATGTTACCTAATATGTCAACTTTGGCTGACTCAATTTTGGTGTCCATTTCCTAATAAGTGTTGATTTGGAATTTGTCAAACTTTGTTTCCTGACAGCTCATCCTAGCTTCATTTACATCTTGTAATTTTTGGAGAGTACTATCAATTTTTTCCAGGGTGGGAATGGTGATAGTGCAGCTGTTGCAGGTTCATCGAAGATTGTTGAATTTACCCTGGATGATGTAGTTGTACACAGCCTCGTCAGTTTTAGAACATCCCAAACAGTAATATAGTTTACAGCCATCACATTCCATAGCCTTTTTTTAAGTTGAATGTCACATTTGTTACAAAAGATGATTTCTTCTCCTGATGCTTGTCTTAGCTTCTTACTTAGGTTTGCGATTCTATCCTCATCATTTGAGTTAGAGGTACCGGTAAGTTGGAAACGGGTTTTAGGATTAGCTGAAGGCATGTTTACTTTAACTTGTCAAGGATTGATAGTAACTTAATGGGAAAGCAAGGCAATCCTAGCTATAACCCAGCTACTTACAGTCTATAACAAGTCAATAGTGTTCATTTTGAAATTCAGTTCCTCTTTTTAGTATTCTGAGTAGCCAATATTTACCTACAAGTTCTGATGGGTGTATTGCGTCTGGTAACAGGTTGAAGTTGATGCTGTATCGAGTTGTCGAAAGTTGATTGTGTTGTCGTTTTGTCGATCTCGATCCCTCCTTGTCAAATCTCGGTGGTATGAAGCCGGTCATGGAGTTGAATTCCGTTACTACACTGTTGTAGGATTGCACAAGTGCATTGACTTCATGGTCATCATTCTGTTCTATTTGTGCATCCAGATGTGTGTAGTCACGAAGTCTGTTCCATTTTATCACCGAGATTGGTGGGGCCTCAAGAAATCCAATATGTAGATTACGGGTTTCCATGGCCACTGCTTGTTTGACATTAGTGAACTGTTCTCGTGTTTTCGATATTGACAAGTCAGTTCCGTGGTCCTCATACCGGGGGAATATAAACTTCCCTTGCTTAATGGTGATGTCGCATGTCCCGTGCCAAAATAAGACTAACCCTTCATACCCGAGACCACCCCGTTGGAGACTGCTGTTAATGAAATCCACCGTCTTCCGCTTTTGAATAACCATTTAATGCTATCATGGTCGACTCTATGGTGCGGGAATTCTCCCTGAGATAGCGTCCTTTACTGTCCGAGACGAGCAATAACTTTCTATCAGGGCTAAATATAGTCTCCCCTTTCTTAGTAAGGTATTTCTCGAGTCTACGAGCTTCCTGAGAATTCATTTGGAAGTGTAGAGCTGAAAGTAAAAGTGTAAATAGAATCGGCCATTGTTGACGGACGGCGGGAAGCTCAAACACTGGGATGAGCAATCACTCAGTATTACGAAATCGTGGGCCTAGATTCACACAGAAACGGATCACACAGTTTACCTATATCGCGCTACATGTTTGAAACTTGTTTAAAGGATATAACGTTGTTTCATTAGTCTGGAATCGACGATAATATAGCTGAGTCCTTTTCTGTTTTGATGTGTACATCCATTCGTATTGCGCGCGCAACCGGAAGCTCGAATGCACGTATACACAACACACACAGAGGCACGTCCTTAAATGATAGGACGTTAAAACCTGTGCAACCAACCCTCTCGATTTTCAATAGTAAGATAAAACTTCAACAAAGCCTTAGACATAATTCTAACTCATAAGCCTTTGTGTGAAATTTTCATCTTTCTACTAGAAGAAATGAAAGATTATCCGATTATTTAACGTATGTCCGTGAGATATTTTACTTTCCCGTCTATTAGTTTTCAATATGTTCCTTCTCAATAAGATACGGTATAGTTTCCGTACTTTCAGTAGGTGATGACGTTGTGTATTGTTCATGCGTGTTTGTTCAGTAACTGATGGGTGTTTATAATTACTGTTGTGCTTTTATGCAGCAAGTTAAGACTGTGTATAATTAATTGTGCTAGTCTGATCAGTAAGTAATGACTTTATACTTACTTAATGAGTGTTTACTAAGTGATGACTATACCTGTGTGTGTGTGTAGTTTTTTTCGGTGAGTGATGACTGTGTAAAGTTAGCTGCGTGCCTATGTTCAGTATCTGATGACTTGATCGTGTCTGTTCAGAAAGTGATGACCTGTGTATGCCTATAAGTGACCAATGCGTATTCTTATTGGTAGTTTGACTGGCATCCCGACATCCTGTACCGCCGCACGGAGCGACCACAAGCTAGTGTCGTGGCGGACTACTCAATCGACATCAAGGTCGGCCGACCCAAACTGTACTGCGTCGGCATTCGTAAGTCTTCGTTTCCATTAGGTTGTTTACTATACATCGTCTGTATCGGGATGTTTCGGGATGTATTCACTATTTATTTAAGTGTGAACATGTTTTGGTTAAACAAATTAGATCATTATATTCCAAAATATCACTTTATTTTCCCAAGCAATTGAAAATGCAAGAGTAATTTGTTATTTGCAATGTAACAGTGCTGTCAAATACATTATTCGCGATGTACAATGGATGAGCTCTTGTAACCTACCCTGTATGTTTGAGAGTAATAAAATCTTGAATCTTGAGTCTTTAATAATTAATGACATTGCTTCAAGTTTTCCATGCAAATTTTTTTTTTTTTTTTTTTTTAAATTTTTACGTATTTCATATTCTGCTGAAAATATGATTTTTATTTGAAAGAACGTTTTCATATTTTATCGCTAATTACTCCCTGATATATGCATTTTGAGATATAATGATGCATGCTACAATTGTAAGTTTAAATTTTAGGTAACCCATGGGCATGTGGCAACCAAGCACTTCGACAAATGACAATGGTTTGTTCTTTTAAATATTTATTTTTTGAGATAATCCAGGATCAAAATGAGATTTCAAAAAAAAGACATGAATTAAAGGTTGATAGAAAGTTTGATATTAGTTAATCATTTACTGGATTGACGAAGATAACTGTCAAGAAATAACATACCTTTTACAAAAATGACAAAGAAGAAAATTATAGCTAACGATATGAGTGAACTTAATGATATTGTTATAATTGGTGAATATTAATGTGTATATATAGTAGACTTAATCTGACAGGGAACATGTTTTTTTCGACAGACAGCAAAACAGGGTCCCCGAAGTCTTTTCTTCGGTAAGAGACCTAAAACGACTAACATCCTGAATATTCATCGCCCGGCACCACCCAGGACATCCACAGCAACATCACGGGTCCGCCTTCAGCCATTATCGTTAGTTAGGAGCAAGACAGCGGTATGTGTCCTGCATAATGTTACAAAACCATTAATTATGTTTACACAAAAATCTTTTCCATTAGTACTTAAAATATTTGTGATGAAAATAGAATTATTAAAACTAACAACACAGTCTAAAAGAAATTGTTTTTGTTAAGCTAAATTCATAGCGATATATCTGAAATATTTTGAAACGCCACCCGACATCGTGAAAAGACTATCTGTTATATCCCATCTTTTATCCTTCTGTCCTTCCGTATATATAACATATTAAGACGTCCCTCAAATTACGCTTCTTTCAATATCTATTGGTGTTTTATCCATGGAACATAATACTCCTCGTTTATGGTATTTTTCCTTCGCCGGAAAAAACAAATAAATTGTAACACGCTTATAAAATGGACTGCTTTACAACATCCATGTACAAAACAAACCACAGAACTTATTACAATTTGTACTCTAGTTAAAAACCTGAATCATACAGCATCACATTTCAGGTCCCATTTTGTGTACTCAATATTGACATGTTATAACAACATAAGAAGGTACGCAATGCATATCGGGGCGTAACTTAACTGTTATCTTAGGAGAGGTATAAACCCATCTTTCTGAAGCATTTTTAAATTTCATATATATATTTCATATAATGTCCAGACTGTGACTTTCAAATCTTGCGCAATAAAAGTACTAAGATCGCAAAACCCATCTTCGTTGATTGATATGTATCAAAACATGCTGGCAGATTCGCTAACGGTGTTCCGGTTTTCTCAAGAACGACTAAAAAAGAAGACTTAGTTCGCTGTCCACTATCCTTACGAGAAGTGAACAACGCTCCGTAGATGTTACTGAGCTGGTACTCTCAATGTGCATACCACTTTAACACAGTAGATACCACTGGTGGTACCCAGTTTATTCAAAAGGAGGAAAAGCGATCCGGAGGGTTCAATGGTTTCTTAGACATCCAGTTTATAAAAACTAGCACGGACCGATTAAGGTTTTGGTAATCAGCACATCAGATAAGCTATAAAGTGTTGGTATCCGAGCAGGACAACAAATAAGGTTAAGTATAAGATAACGGAAACGAGACCAAAACAAAGTCACGATAGCAGAAAGACAAACCGCACAGAGGAAGTGCGACTATCCCAAATTAAAAGGAACCTCCAACGATTTAAGAAATACAAAACATGAACAGCGATAAAACATTTACGTAAGCCACACTATTGCAGCAAAGGAGGCAACTGCAATAACTGTCAGGCATGTCACATCAGAGCAGATGGGAAACAAATTGGATGAATTAGCGGAGGAATTGGAAACGCTGGGTGTTAAGGAAAAACATTCAAGATCAGAAAAGAAATTATTACAGTCAGAACACGACAAAAATGCGCTAATAGGCCACATAAGTTAAACAGTATGATCGAATGGGAAGGGACTGAATCACTGTAAGGAAATCGATAAGTAAATGAGGTCATCTAGATAATAAAGTAGGAAGATGTAACCGGGAACAGGGGATTTACCAGTTTTGTAGCACCTTGCTGAGCACTGTTCGATACGCGTAACGGTAGAGGACATGGGAAGTAACTCTTCCATTCGTATCCTTCTCGAGAAAACCTTATAGACAGTCAGCGAAACTGTCGGTAAAAGCCTACCATAATGCGTCTGTCAGGCTGCTATATGTTTGACGGTAAGCTGAAAAACAGCAATCACAAGGTTTTGGGTTCGACGACATAAAAGATATTATTGCACCATTACATAAGTGAAAATATGGAAACGTGAAGTATGTACGTGTGATCCGTTATAAATGATATCACAGACTTTAATTCTGTGGTAAAACTAACTTGTCGACAGAAAAACAAAACATTGACAGAGGCCATGTTAGGTACATGCGATCTAAAACGGTCAACTTCATGTTATCAATGATCACGGACGTTTCAAAACCATTTTGGTTACACACCGATTTTTCAGCAATAATCCATGAAAGTGCTTAGATTCCCATAAACCTCTTTAGAACATCTACACATATGCAGAACAGTCGATGTGTGTACCGATATTTTCTTTTATAACTTAACAAATAAACCTCATATCTTAGGGTGCCATCTTTATGCAGAAAGCTGAACGGGAATTTTCCATTAACACGTGCATGCCCCCTTTAAACTGATGGTGGGTGAAGGAAGTGGTGAATGTTTTAATGATATCGATGTTTATCTTCTTTCGGTGACGCAATATTTTATCAATAAAATTTTGAACGGGATAATTTTACAATAGGAGTTTGTATGTTAGTCATACTGTACAAACGTGAATGCATTTGTCTACTGCCGTTCTTAGATAATAAGTTTGGCAGTAGATTGGAAAAGTGGTTTTAAAGATTTCTAATGGTATCTCTTTTGTATTGCAGATTTACTAAACGTATATCGCAACAGACACCGGTAAGGTGACGTCAACACATGTACAAAGCTCAGCAGTTTCACAGACAGATGTTGGTAACGATGTGTGTGACAGAAATAACAGGACAGTGACTAGTTGGATAATGAGCTCGGTGTTCCATGTGTGACGTCATAATCAGACGTCACAATTATGAACTAACTGCAATTGTTTTTCTTTAATGGAGTAGTTGAATATCATTCAAATAATCCAGGAAATCAAAGGATTTGTTTTTAATATGCCCGAGCGTTTTCACATTCCCTCAACCTTTGGTTAACTACTCGATCAAACTTGAAGAGTATGGTTGAAATACTTCTATGATTTATACAGTATATTATATCTATTACTACTAGCAGGCAAACTACAGAGTAGCATTTATTCTGATGTTTTACTATACTACTAGCCAAACAACAGAACAGTAATGATTCTGATGTCTATAACTACTACTAGCCATACAACAGAACAGTAATGATTCTGATGTCTATAACTACTACT